GAATGTAACAGGAACTCATAGACCCCACTGTATAATCAATGAACGTACAGATGTTACAGTCATGAGGTATACCGGAGAACTTAGCTACATAGTTACTGCACAAAAGCAGAAAAAATACTTACCCCTTGTAAAACTCCAGCAGAATTTTCTCTAAAGAGAGGGCCAGGGAGAGACCCTCCCCCTCTGCTGGTCAGCTCTTTAATGGGTCTAGGAGAGGTGGAGACAGGCTCCACTCCTTCCAGCAGCACAGGTCAATTGCCTTCACCTGTGCTCCTGTGGTTGACTCATTGCTCACCTCAGGTGATCAATCAGAGGTTCAGGCTGTCATTCAGCAATTCCCATACGCCCGCCCTAAAAACTACCAGGCTGGTTGTGCTGATTCAAGTGTCTAGGCAATGTCACAGAACTTTTCTGATATATCAAAAATTGTGAAGGTTAGAACTTGTTAAAGGAATTTGATCAGAGCACCAGTCAGGCTGACCGAAATACAACCTGATGCAGCTTACCAAATCTACTACTGAAAACAGCAGAATACTATTTCAGAACAAGCAAAAGAGACAACTATTTCTGATTCGATCAAAATACGTCGCACAGTTCCTTAAAGAATTTGATTTATATACAAAGAGGCTCTTTAGACCGTCAGCAGGTCCAGCAGGAACCAGGCTCCCTGCCTGCAAATCTTTCACTTAGCTAGAGGAAAAAAAGAACAGACAATGCCAGAATGTGCCGGCTTGCCCCAAACAAAGAATCTGGCACTATCAAAGCGCTAGCAATCCTCAGTTCATGTTGCCTTATTGCTCTCAGCATAAAATATAGAAGCATTTTTGGCTGTATGTTTTGATGGCAGAAATGAGTACCTTGTAATGTTTTGAATCTACAGCTGAAAGACTTCTTAAATGAACGTGACAGATTTTGAAATGCCCCATGCTGTTGCGCTTAAAGTATGCCAATCACAATTAATAGCAACAGATTGGCTATTCCAAAACAAATAAAACCTGTGGATTTTTCTGCTGAATGAAGAGCTGATGAGTGAAAACAGAAGCAAAATTACTACAATAGCCAGTCAGCCTGTCAGTGGAAATTATTTTCATTTGTCTGTATTCACAAGGGTTGGTAAACAATAATGCATCAGCTAATATAGTTTTGTGTTATATTCAAATTGAAAGTGAAATACAGGCTGACATTATAAATGGATCTATTACTCTTTCACAATGGATTTCTGAGGTCTTCTGAGTCTTGATATTTAAATTGGTCTGCAAGGTTGTTGTATTTTAGTATGAATGCTATTAAATTTGTGTCATTTTTCCCTTTAGCAAATTAAATACTGTCCTTCTGTGTTTCCTTTGAAGGAGAGGTGTATTGTATAGCAACCCCTCACTCAGTGGAAATAAAGCGCACGTTTTAAATTGTTCTATTGGATTGTAAGGAGTTGTGTTGGAAATGTACTTGGTAGAGGGGTGAGATCTCTAAATCTCTCCAAATAAATCTCTCTCTAAATAAATGCAATGCACCTTTTAATTTCTGTGGATTATTATTTTTTTCTTCTGAAGTCTCACAACAGTTTTAGTGCTTTGGGCCTCCGTGTCCCAGCAGCTATTACTAATCATGATTTACTAATGAGTAAAAGCCAGTGGCTTTCAGTAATCACATGGACCAGAAACAGCCAGAATAGTTCAGGTTGAAAGGGACTTCAGACCATCTAATCCAATCCCCTTACTCAAACAGGGACATCTAGAGTGGGCTGCACAGAACAAGCTCCGGGTGGGTTTTGAAGATCTCCAGGGAAGAAGACTCCACAGCCTATCCGGGCAGCCTGTGTCAGCGCTCTGTCACGCTCACAGTAAAGAAATTTTTCTTCATGTTAAGATGGAAATTCCCAGGTTTCAGTTTGTGCCCTTTGCCTCTAACACTGTTGCTAGGCTCCACCGAGAAGAATTTAGCCCATCCTCTTTACACTTTCCCTTAAGACACACTGATCTGATCCCCTCTCAGTCTTCTCCAGAATGAACAGGCATAACTCTCTCAGCTTTTCCTCATATAAACGATACCCCAGTCCCTTCATGATTTTAGTATCCTTGTGCTGGACTCACTCCGACAGCTCCATGTTTCTCTCATACTGGGGAGCCCAGCACTGTGCATAGCACTGTGAGCCTAGGCCTCACCAGGGCAGAATAGAGGGGATCCCTTCCATCAACCTCCTGGCGACAGTGTTCCTGATGCTCTCTGGGATATTATTTGCCTTCTCGGACACAAGCGTGTACCAGTGGCTCATGGTCAACTGGGTGTCCCCAAGGACCAGCAGGTCCTGTTCCACAAAGCTATCTTCCAGCAGGTCAGACCCAAGACTGTGCTGGTGCATGACGGTATTCCTCTCAAAGTGCAAGGCCTTGTGCTTGCCTTTGTTGAATCTCAAGTGGTTTTTGCCCACCTCTCCATCCTGTCCACATATTTCTGACTGACAGCACAGAGCTCACAGGTATCAGCCACTCATCCCGGTTGCACTCTGGGGTATTAGCCACTCGTCCCAGTTTTGCATCTTCAGCAAACTCATTGAGGAGATACTCTGTTCCTTCATCCAGGTCATTGTTGAAGATGTTAAGCAAGACCTGACTCAGTACAGAATGCTGGTGCACCCTGCTAGCTACGGGCCTCACACTAGGCTGTGTTTTGACTCATAAGCCTCTGAGATGTCCTGTGCAGCTACTTCTCAGTCCACTCTTATGTAAACCCTTCTCGGGCTTGCTTTTGAGGATGTCACTGGAGACAGTGTTGAAAGCCTTGCTGCAGTCAAAGGAGACAACACCCACTGTTCTCCCCTCATCTATCCAGCTGGTCATTCCAGCTTAGAAGGCTATCAGATTGGCTAAGTATGATTTTTCCTTAGCAAATCCATGTTAACTGTAAATTGTGGTTTTTTTTTGTTTTTTTTTTTTTGGTTTTTTTGTTTGTTTGTTTTGTTTGTTTTTTGTTGTATTCTTTCTTTCTTGTCATTTCATCTCATTTCTTTTCATCTAACTTCCTCTTTGTCCTTGCGCTTTATTTGAGGTGTTTATTCAGCCCTCCCCAAACACTCACTTTACTACGGTTCTGAAAGCCCTTTTCTATATATGCTAACAGAGCATTCATCAAAGCCTTGAAAGCTAACACCCTAGATCTATGACTTGGAAAACTTTGGGGCACTGGACAATACATATTGACTTGGTCAGATCTAAGGCAAACAATTCAAATTATAACTAATGAGATCGAAGTGTGCAATTAAACTAGCTTTGCCTCCATCCAAAACACTGCTGGGCAGTTTCCTAGAAAGCTTTTAGAGACCAATGATGTTGGGAGTACAGTGGAAGTGCTAAGGCGAACGCCAAGCAATAAAGCTATATAAAATCACCTCATATTCACACAATAAAGAAACTAATTCACAGGTTTTAACCTAAAAGGCAGACAGATGCAATGAGTCTAGTTCTTTAACAGACCAACTGCTCTCTCACAGTTGGATTCCTTAAACAGCTACACTGGGAATATTTTGGACAGAAAGAAAACTTTAAAATCCACCCACATACATTGAAAAAATTATTGTAGCACTAAACTGGCTCTGAAGTCTGTTTTTGTTGTTGTTTGTTTGTTTGTTTTTAATAAAAATTATTATTAAAAAAAAAATACACCAGAGACACATGAAACAACTTCTGCAGCTTTGCTCAGTTGGCCATCACTGCTAAATGCAAATGGTAATGTCAAAACTACTCTCTCTAGGTTGATGAATTTAAAAACATACCTCTTGCAGACAATCACAAATGCAGCTTTTATCCTTTTCTAGGTGATGGTATCAGTTGTTGTTTTCCTCCTTTTAGAAGTTTAGACAACATTCATGTACATCTTCAATTGTCACAAATTTCATTCGATTTTTTTTAGTAGGTAATAAGGTAATTTCTAATTACGTTATTGAATAAATACTTTTACCTATTGTGTTCCATCTGATATCTGTAAGTTTTGAAGTAGTGGCCATGATTCTTTGCAGATTAAATGCCCCATAGAATTACAAGGAGATGTATCTGCGGTGCTAGTATGGACAACAGATAAGTATGTGCATAAATACCAGAAGATAATTGTTTTATTTTGTCAGTTGTCAGGTGTTATCACCTAAGCCATCTTATGTGAAGCTGTGTGTCACGGAGTTGACCAGATCAATCTATGTCCGTGACAGGGGCGACAGGCCTCTGCCCTTCCCCCCCACCCCAGGTGGGACACGAACCCACAATTCCTGACTTAGAAGGCCAGTGCCTTATCCATTAGGATATCCATTAATGCCCCGTACACTACATGATGTTTTGATGTGGAATACTGAAACCCAAAATAAAAACAAACAAACAAACAAAAAACATAGAACCATGACACTGTGTTTTCTCATTCTATTTTGCATTAGAACTCTGATTTGTAGATAAGAATTTTAAGAAGCATATACCAAGCCAAGCCATCCTTGATGCCTTTGGGATAAACGATTAAATATCTGCAGAAGAGATGGACCATGAAAGACTTGGTAATACAAACCAGACTGGGCCACGCTGCTGCAGGGAAGGAAGAGAGAATCCAGGAACGCCAGAGTAACTTGGCTGTGTCTAAGAGCTATATGAGGAAAACTGAGGTAAAGTGGGAAAAGAAGGAAAGAGTATGAGACATGGTAAGGTCATTTGGCGCTGGTGACCAGTCTAAAGTTTGTTCAAAAGCTGAACCCTGACATTTTGAGACTTCTTTGGAACACAGCACTTACACTAAGGATGAATAATTTTTGAGAAGATGATGAGAAATACCCTTTCCAAGCACTAGTCAACTACAAATAAAAAATAAGCTAGCATGTAGTGCTCAAAAAACTTCTCATGGTTCACAACCCAGGCTGCTGCACGCTTTAGAAAACTTGCAGCACATGGCTCAGACGTGCTCCCAGTCCCTCACAGAGGATGGCAATAAGAGACACACAACTGTCATCTCAGGTTCCCTCTGTCTCTTACCTTGTTGCACAAAAGATCCGTACACGAACCACATGGAGTTGTAGAGCGTTGTGGAGGTCATAGATCCCATCTGAAGGCGAGGAGGGTTGAGCCAATTCAAGAGGTAGACCAGCAGTCCTACTAGCAGCACGGTACCAGCTATGCATGCCCACAGGGAGAGGTCAAATGGTGCCAAGCAGGCAAACATGTCCATTGTCTTCTCCGCCTTCCGAAGTAGCACGCCCACCGAGTAGTCCATATAACGTGTTGTGAAGTCCACCACATTTTCTCTGTCGGGGGTGATGGTTAAGGCAGAGATCCCTATGTCAGCTCTCTGAGGAAAGAGGAAGGGAGAATAAAATGTGTGAACAGGAGGTACAGAAATGATCTTTGCTCCTCCTTGATCTTCAGCGGCTAAATTTAGTACGGAGTAGCAGATGCCAAGGCCAACGTTTAAGACACAATATAAGCAAACTCAGAAATGTAAGAAATGTGAGTAGCAGAACAGCTGTACCACCTCTCTTAGCTCCGTGAGCAAACTTTGCTCTGTGGACTCAGAGGTCTTAGCTTTTTAAGTTATTATTTTCAAAAAAAAAATCAGAACACTTCCAATGTAGGTAATAGCTCAAGAAAATCTACTTCTGGTATTTTTCTTGGACTATTGATGCCATCATTATTGCTGTGGCTTTGTGTACAGCATTTCTGATTAGAAGAAATTTGTTCCTGACAGAGCTGTATGATTTCCAGCACTTTGTTGATACGATGCTCACGGTAAAGGGCTGCTGTGTGATGAAGGGCATCTCATACATCCTGGGGTGCTTGGGATACTCAATATTCTGGACAATATCAACCTCGATGGCAGTGCACAAAGTGCATAACAGCAGGCAGCACACACAGATCCTTCTCTGCTAGTTCCTCTGTATGCTACTGCTTTGTGCCTTTTTTTGTTTTGTTTTGTTTTTGTTTTGTTTTGTTGTTGTTTTTTTTTGTTTTGTTTTTTGTAATTTTAAGAACCCACTTCAGATGAGTAGGGGATGAATAATATGTTTTGATCCAATCATTGTATTCCACAGCATGTCTGGATATTAGGACTCCAGAGGCAGCAGGCACAACTACAGCAGATGCTGTTTTCCTTTATATAGATACAATTTTTACCACAGTGAAAGCAGACACAGTAACACTGTTTAAAAAAGCCCCCAAAGTGAAGAAAGACACCATTAATTTTAGATATTTTTGGAAAAAAAAAAAAAAAGAGTATTTAAAATACGTAAAGATGCTACCAGTTTGATTTAATTTGTTCCTGATCTGCCTAAAGCAGCATGTGGTCTTTTGGAAGGGAGTGAGGAGAGCACAAATGCATCAAATTGTCAGTACTGAGTCAATTTTATTAACTGTGTTGAGTTTCTTTCTTCTCGTCCAAAGGCGGCAGAGATTGCTAGCTCCTAAGAAATGTGAAACATTAAGTGACAAATTATGGAGCTGAAACTGATTAGAATCAAATTTGCAAATCATCTGCAAAATACCATCTGTGAGACACTCTGTTGCCCACGGTACAGACACGGCGTTTAATCACAGTGCACTGAAATCTTTGGTTTACACGATGTACTTCACATTAATTTTCGTTTTCTTGAGAAACAGCGGAAAGTAGCTGAGGGCCTGATGATTTAAGCAGTAAGGCGCTTGAAAATATTGGTTTGTTTATAAATCATGAATAAGATCTTCATCTTTAATTTGTAGTTTAGGTCTTGTAGCATCTGAAATGAAGGTTTGTTGATGTATACAGCTGAAAGCTTGGCTCTGTAAATTAATGTATAAAATTATAGAACTTTTAGCCAACAAATGACTTGAGCGTCCCGAGTGTTCAGCCCCAGCTGTGCTGAGCAGCATTCAAAGCAGACATCACCTGAAATGTTTTCCACAGTAGTGAACAGAACCGTACGTTCAAAATAATTTCCAAATCAAAAAGTCCAGAGCTCTGTACCAATAACTGTTGAGTAAAACAATAATCATATTTAGTGTGTAAGGCCATTTTTTTTTTTCCAGAATGTGTCTTAAAACATGAAGTGAGTTATGGGGTGGCACATAGAACCACTAAGCGATACATGTAACCCCTGCTGTTTAACTTCATGTATCACTGAAACACTTCCATACTGCACTAGATAATTGTGAAGAGCCATTCAAGTTGTACTTGGAAGATGTTTAAAGATCTTTCAAGGAAAACCAATATAAGTGAAGAAAATTTCAGGGAAAAAAAGCTGGAGGAGGATGCATAGGTGTTTTTTATTTATTTTTTTCTTTTTTTTTTTTTTAAGAGGAACATATTTCTCCATGAAATACAATGAAGGGCACAGCGTGTGACATTTATAGAAATGCTGCTTCTATTTCACATCCCTGAGGAGTAGTCTTTCACATTCCACAGTGTTATGGTTCCATTCTGGATAACAGCCAGCTACGAGAAAGGAGCAATGTTGTCCTAATGGAAATGTTGCATTTTCTTTGTGATATGGCAGCAGCAATCGTGTTATAGATGTATTGATCTAAAAAATTGCTAGTAATGTAGAGAAGGAGGCATCCTGACTTCTCTGTACTCCCATATGTAGCCCTTTTTCCATAAAATAAAGGTTACTCTGAGCTACGACAACTCATGTTCCTGACTTACAAAATCAAATCATAAACACCAGATTAGTGGAAAACTGTACATTTAGCACAGAACCATGCTTATGCTTCACTCAGCAGCTGATCCACTGAAGGTGAGCATTCCTAATTATGTACAGAATCTGTCACCGTGTATTAAATTGGAAGATGGAAAAAATTAAATGCTTGTCATTAACACGTCAAATTGGATCAGAGAAGATATCAGTTTGGAGGATTCAAGGTTCACTTAGTGCTTCTGAGGGAGAAAAGCAAACGCATATGATTATGTCAATATTTAGATATAAAGCTGCCAATCTGAATTATAAACATGTAAAATTCTCCGCTCAGTTTTCGCAGTGCCAAAATCAACCACTGGCATCTTAGAAGTCTGTTCTAGCACATTTTGGATTAATGAAACTGTGAATCCTGAAATCGGTTCCATGGAAAAAAGTAGAGGGCATTATTTTTCTTCAGGTGACCTGCTTAGGAATTTATAGTTGATAGCAGGTCTCCTGAGGTCAAAGTTGATCAACATCACCGCAAGCAGGAAATCCAAAATAAGTGAACCAATAGGCCCAAAAGCTTTGCTACCTGTCACAGACTCGGCTCATCAGCGATGGTTTGAAATCCTCCCATTCTATTGCTGAAGCAGGTATGCCTTATATACATGTAAAGCGACCTTAAGATGATTCCTGTGGTACATGACTGAGAACAGGGGAAAAAAAAATTGACTGTAAATTCCTCCATGAGGATGTTTATGGTAATTCATTGTTAATGTTGAATCAAGATGCACTGAACGTTGGAAGCAACAAGCCACAGCTCCATGTGCCATGCAGTCCTTAACATGGACACGTAAAAATTAACTGCAGATATAGTTTTACTCACGGTAAAGTGCCTGCAAAAGTAATTCTTTTTTTCCTCAACTGCTGTTGTATATGTTACCTTCTCATGTTGGCTTTTCTGTATGCTTTCTACCTTCCTATGCCATTCCCCTTAGGAAGATGCACTTGAGGGAAGAACTTTATAGAGCTTTCCATTGCCAGTAGTTTGCTTTGGAAGTGCTCGGGCATGTATTTCGCTTTGCATTTCTGACAGATCTAAGTGAAGTTGTTTCAATGCCATTTGCTTCCTGATGGCTCATCAGAAAAGAAGTCACAGCAATTCAAGTGACGTGGCACAATATGGGAAACCGGCTTATGAATATAAATATCACTGTTGTGTTCTGAACCACAAGAAAGTCTACTGTCCTCTCCCAAAAGAGCCTTTTTCTGCCTCCTTTGCTTGTCACACAGGCTCGTCCCCCTGGTAGCACGGCCTTGAGTGTAACCGAAGGAAGTGCTGCAAAATGGTATCTTGTGGCAAAAGAAAGATGTGCAGTAACGCATCGCTTCCTCTTGATTGGCTCTGCTGAATGCTGCCGCTCTCCAAACTCATCCCGTCTGTGAGTCAAAGCTCTGTAGGGTTACACTAACAGACCATCACATTACAGCCAGTTTATTTTGAAAGAAAAAGGTGTACGTAGGAAGGATAGACCTCATGTGAATTGGGCAGAAATGTAAAGAGGAGGAAGAGTGGGTACCCTATTCAAACCACAGACTAGTTGCTCTGAAATGCTGATTCCAGCTCCTATTTCAGCAGCCACTGCGTACAGTAACACTCCATCCTTGGAGCAAGAAGAGTGAACTTGGCAGAAGCTCCACGAGGCGTGTGGGCTTAGAGCACATGTTTGCAGCCCAGGGCTTCCATCCCACGTGGCTGCGAATGAGAGCAGCCCAAGACTGCTCTCACCAGTATCGGGATCTATAGAAGAGCCTGCCGCACCCTGATTTGGATTAATGCATATCGCATCTGTCGGTCCTTAACACAGAAAGCAATGCACTCACTGCAGCAATTACCATTTCATCTGACCCTTTTCCTGCAGTGGGCACAGACATCTTCGGAAGGCACTCACAAAGAGGAGACGACAATTTTCCACTGTGCTTGAGTGGGACTTGTCTTTTGTAGAAATGCACTGTTCCCAAGTAATTTCTGGCTCACATGTTATGAGGTAAAAAGCACTCCCCGTTCCTGGATTTGTTCTGCATGTTGGCAGAATTATCATGTTATATTCGATTGGGAAAATTAGGAAACGCTGTGTGTTAAACAGGTCAGGTCTTTAATTTAAAACTATTCTTTGCTCCTTTGTTTCCCGTCACAGAGTTGCCAAGAAGAGAGATATGTGAGTTATGGGAGCAGAACTTGGTTCGCAGTAAATAAGAAAGCAGCCTTTTGAGAACAGCTTGCACTTGGTAAGGGGTAGTTACAAACTGGCTGCTTGCCCAGAGGTTCTCTTTTGCATCAGGAGGGACAGAAAAAGTGAAGGATGGTATGAACCTTTTCTGTTAATTATAGGAGGGGTCGAGAGGATGCCAAAGAAATGATATTGAGGAAACATGAGTTTTACATTGCAAACGCAGTCCCACTAACACTTCATGTCTTCTAATTGTACAGAAGGATTTCACAACCAATTCGCATTTTCATTTAAAGTAAAATTGCAACAGACTGGCAAATTCATTCCACCCGTGACGTGTATTTACAGATCTAGCGGTTACCGCCTCAAGGGTGTTATTTAGGTTTATGTAAATCCATGGCTAGCACAAGGAAAAGAATGATGTGGAGATTTTTTAGTAGAACAATCAGGCTTCTGAGGTTGTGATTGCTGCCTGATGAATCATTCATTTCAAACAGAAATTGTTCCAGGCCATTATTCCATCTCTGGAGCCACTGAGCACTGGGATGCCTCCAGCCTGTGGCACGCAGTGCCTAGTACTGTCCTTTGCCGAGCACTGCAGTGAGCGGGGTATGGTACAACATTGGGTGCAAGGAGCAGAGAAATGATAAAAAGGAATCGACACAAGGCAAATATGGTCCTAGTCTAAACGGTAGACAATGAAAGTTCAGTTGTGACATTTTCTGAGTTGGAGGAAAATTCAATTTTCTTAATGGTTGCAGCTCAGCACGTATGATCACAGCATTCTGGCTTTATAAGGACGTAAGGAGAACGGCGAAATGAGGTTATCACTACAGTTTAAACCCACAAACCGCATCAAGATTACGGCACGTGCGGATGTTTCCATTCTCACAGGCCTTGTACTGCTTGGGCAATCAGAATAAGCTAAGGTTTTTTCCAGTTTTCCTTTTCACGTGGATTGTGATTGTAATTTTTTGAATTTTTTAGTTTTAAACTTCTTTTTTCTTTTCTGCAAGATCTGATTTTTGCATTTTGTCACCTTGTAGTTCCGGTATTTAATGTTATTTTCTGTGTCTGACTGCATCACTCCTTACGTCTTACAATGGTGCATTATGTTCAACAATTAAATTTCACCTGTAGATTGTGAAAAGGATTTCTATAAACCACCAGTAAATTCTTTTCAAGAATGTCTACAGCAGTTATTTTGAGGAAAATAAAAATAGGAGTCTTTGGCTTTAAAACCTGCACCTCTAGCAGTAGTAACAGCATCTTCTGGTTCACAGAGAGCAACTGAAATGTATACATTCATAACACAAATGGGGCTATTTCTCCCAGCCCTGGTCCTGCTGGTGTAAAAAGGAGCACAAGGAAATCTCAGGATGGGCTTTTCTTTTTGTCGAGAGTAAGCACGTTGACAGGCTGCCATCCTTTAGTGTTTTGTTTTTTTTTTTTTGGTGAGGGGAGGTTAGGGGGTTTGTGGGTGCTGCAGAGTCTCCTGCTAGTAGTGATGAACGTGAGTAAGATGGGGCCATGTCCCACAGAGCAGTCTTGGGGTTGCTGGGTGGGAGATGTGGCATAAGGGACTACTGAAGTGGAAGTGATGCCTGAAAGTTTTTTTTCACTTCAGTTTTTTTTTTTTTTCTTATTGCAGGATGAATGCTGCAGTGGAGCCTGTTGGAGAAAGGATCATCTCAAACCTGTAAGAAATGTGTGTGGTGCTACTACCATGGATGCACCAAGGTCCAGTAGTGTGAGCCTTCCTGCAATGTGGGCTGCCCATGTGCAGCTGAGCCATTTGAGAACAGCTCTGGGGCCTCTGGCAGTGAGATTTGTCTTACTCCCATTAGTGTTGGGAGCAATGCTGCCTTGGAGGTGGTGACTGCAGGGTATAGGACTCTCTTCTTGGGATGAGAGGCCCTTGGCTCTGACCCTGCTTATTTTGGTGCTGGTCCAAGGCCACTGCTGAGTTTCCCCCGCATTTTGGGGTCAGCATGGTGCTGCTGCTGAGCTATCACTCTTTCTCCCCTCCCCCCCCATCCTTTTTTTTTGCTTGGGAGACACACACAGGACATGCAGAAATGGCTTCATAAACTGTAAAGAAAGTAGCCTGAGGTCTGTGTTCTCTATTTCTGCTTTTTGTCTTCTATTTCAGGGTTAGTGAGAGATGCAGCGGAGATTCGTGTCAGCAGTTTTAGCTCTGATGGGACTGTGGAGGTGGTGAGCCCCAGGGAGACACTGGGGGTTCTTTCTCTTTGACAGAGGGCTGCTGGGCTCCCACTGTGCTCTTCCTTGTGCTCTCCTTGCATACTGGAGCTGCTAGGTGGCCACACAGCTATTTTCAGGGAAATGGCTACTGCTCAACTCTGGAAGGCCAAGCACAGCCCTGTTGTGACCTCAATCCTGAAAGGGGTTTTGTGTGTATGATGTGGTGATGGGTGTGAGCAGGAAGGGTCCCTGTTGCCTTATTGTTGCTGGGGGTGGAAAGCAGCAATAGGGCTAATGCAAAAGCAGTATTTGAGACTTGTGTAATGTGCTGAGTTTTTTTGGTCTTATCTAGCTGGATGGGGAAGAGGTGCTGAGGAGCTGTGCAGAGCAAAGATCAGCCTAAAGTATAGAAGAGTTCTGGCAGCAATGGGACTGCTGGAGGAGGTGAGTGCAGGGTGGGGGCTGCCTGCCTGTGAGAAGCTGACAGGCTCCCACCCTGCTCTTTTTTTTGCGGGAGGGGGGGGGCTATTGCTGCGATCCCACTGATTTTTATTAGATGGGGCTTGCTCAGGGCAGCTGCTTGGCTCCTGGAGTCCAAGGACAACTCTGGGGTGCTCTAACTTGCTATAGTGCGTGTTGCACACTTTCCTGCCTCCAGTGATGGGGAGGTGAGTGGAATGGGGCTATTTCTCCCAGCCCTGGTCCTGCTGGTGTAAAAAGGAGCACAAGGAGATCTCAGGATGCTTTTTTTTTAAAAAAAAAACTTGATGTATGCAGTTTCAACTCGTGACTTCTGTTGCAGGTCACCTTTGAGCAAGGATGAATACAAACGTACAAGCAGCTCTGGCAGCAGTGGGACTGTGAATCCAGGCATATGAGTGCCCCTGAGCTTGGAGTGCACTAATGGTGAGTGCTGTAGCTCCTCCTGTTTGTAGTAATAGGGGTGATTTCCTCCTCAGCCCTGCTGCTGGGGCTGAGAAGCAATATAAAGGTCAGCTAAGACGTTAGTGATGTGTGCGATTAACTTCACTATTTGTAATTTTCATCTTTTTCTCTTGCAGCAGAGAAACTTGTGGGTATTTAGCAGGAATTCGAGTACAGAGCAGCGGATGCTGGAGCTGCTTGCATCATTGTGTCTGGCAGCCCTGCAGACTCAGTTAAGTTCTGTTCTTGGGATGGTGGTGGTTTCCTTATTACAAGGTGTGTTGAAATGTGGGGCTCTGGCAGTTCTTCATTGCTGGTGTTCAGTGTAGTGGTGCCTTTGTTTCTGGAGCATGGTGCTCAAGGCTGTTTTATTTTTATTTCAGGTTTTGGTGAGGTTTGTGTTCCAGAGGAAGGTGAGCAGCCCTATTTTCATCTGTCTTTTTTGGAGATGCACTGAGGCTCTTGTGTTATTTGAAGGGTGTGATTTGCTTTTGTAGTGGGGCTGAGAAAGTGATAGAGTGCTATTGTTTGGGTAGCATTCTGGTTGTTTGGATATTTTTTTTTTTGGGGTGCTAGAGACTGGGATTTGCACTATCTCAGAGAGATTTTTTTTTTTGAATGGGAGGGTGGGTTTGGTCATACTTGGGAGTGGCCCTTCATTGGCACTCTTTCTTGGGGGTCTGAGGGAGGAGCCTGTTAGGTGGAAGCTCCCCCTGAATGGGGGTATGTTGGGAGGGAGCCCTCCAAAGATGGGGGAACTCATCTGGAGTGAAGCTATTGCTGGGCTTGGGCAAGTCTTTCTTGCAGAGTGGTGCTCTTTTGCTCCTTCCTGGCTGCTGAGGAGAGCCTAGATCTTCTAGGCCTGACCAGCTAGAAGGATGGAGGAATTTCTCCCGGAGTGGGCTGGGAGAACAGCATGTGTATCTGGTTTGAGGAAGGTTTTGAGCTTTATCTGCTTCTTTAAGTACCTTTGTAACTTGGTGATATCTTCATTGTGAGGCGCTCAAAGCTTGCAGGTTCCATCTCTGGTCTGATTGAAGCTCTGTGATCTCTAGTAGCGGCTGCCTATGTATGCTTCAGGTAGAGAGGATGCCATGCAATAACTAGTACCGGGTGAGGTCTGCCTTTCCTCCTTAGCTGGGGCACATCAAAGATGCTTGATCAGCAGGATGTTGATGTGCCATGTTTGGAGAAGATTTCTGGAGAAAGGGTATATCCAGGTAAGCTCCAGTGGAGCTTAACAGTATCACTTGTATTCCCACTAGTTAACCTCTGCTGGAGTGCATCTAAGAAAGCTGGAGGGTGTGAAATGCTGGCTAGGGCTTGACTTCAAACTCAATGAATAATTATTAACAAAATTGAGAACATTACTTTCGATTCCTATATCTATGTAAAGCATGGTGCAAAAATGTCTTGCATTTGTATTCAATGGTTTTCTAAGTGCTAATTAATATTTATGTAATGTATTGCTAATTGATATGTGAACTTGCTTTGCAATAACCTCCTCCATTCATCTGTGGCAGGTCTTGCAATGTAAGTTAGGGAGTTATGCACCCCATTTTTTTTTGCTTCATTCAGATTTCATACTGCTGTACTTAAAAAAATACAGCCTGCTGCCACCAAGGTAGGCCTTTCTTTATTGCCTGGTGCACTAACAGATGCTGTTATCACAAATAACTAGCAAACGTAACCAAGGATTCATTTATTAAGGTTACCAGGTGATGAAAACAAACTTAAGTAATACATTCTGTATTAAATGACATTATTAAATGTATTATAACCTTACCTTAAATACTAGTTCTCCTATCAGTCCATTCCATGACCCATCATCTTGAGGACTCCCATACTTGTGATCTGGAGCAACGTAAATTTCATACTTAAAGCCAAGGTAACTGGCCAAAGCTTCCAGGACATCTATTGAGAAGCCCTGATACTTCTTTGGTTTTCCCAGAACGTTCTCGGACACCATGACAAAGGGCTCTTCCTAAACAGAAAACAAATGAAGTGACTCTGTTAGTGGAACAAGGGCTTTCCCACTGAGGTGTCTTTCTTTTTTAAAGGACGAAGTAAGTATTCATATTATATACAACATTTTCCACTAAATGAGTACTGGGGTACCTCTGGCATCTTACAAAATGATAGTTTTGGCTTTTACTTCAATATAACTACCTCAAACTCCTGGTAAAAAAAAACCTCTATGACACTTTTTAAGTAAATCACTTGTGACATTATAACATAGCTGCTTTTCAGCAATGCCTTCTGTCTGCACTTATGCTCAGCATGACAGATGCATGCTCATATGTCTGTCTGTAAATATGAAGGATTCTACCTTACTGCTGCTTCCCACCAACTGGGTAAACACTGTATCTGGTAAATGTGACTATTAATTCATGCCATAAGGAGTAAAAAGAGAGCAAAATGCACCAAGCTGCAGCAACATAAAATCTCTCTCCAGTATTTCTCTTGTCATGCTACTATGTTGCACATCTTACTATACACTGGATGACTTGCTGCTTTTTAACTCTAGGCATACATTCGTTTTGGCTGGGGAGAATCATACAGGAGACTTCAATTTCTATAAAGATAATGGGTGAATGCTCATCAAAAGGATAGATAACAAAGGATTTGACTTGATAGGGAGAAGGTGCATTAAATTATCAGGTTACCAAGGAACACAATTCTGTTTTTCTTCTCTGTAGTATTAAAAAAGTTACCTTTCTGATATTGCTCCTACAAAGAGGTGGTTTTGGCTAAGTTCTAATTCCTTTTCTCCCCTTTCCCAGCTCCTTACGCTTTTTTATTACCCTTGTTCTTCCATTACCCTTAATATCTTGCAAAAATATAACACATACTTAGATTAGTAGATAGGTTATATTTAAACTTTTTCTTCCTCTGTGCCCATTCCCCACCATTCTCTCACTGTCTTGGTTACTCACAAGCATACAGGAGGAAAGGTATTATGCTCCCCCTGTGCTTGTGGCCCAAGCTCTAGCCATATCTCCACAAGTGATTTTGTCACTTATAACAATATTCTTACTTTCTTAGCATGCCACAACTAAGAATGAAGAAGAGTAGGGGAGAGGTACTTAGAATAAGAAAGGGTTTTCTTAAATGCCTGAATTAACAGTCATGGGAATAGCTACATTGTTGAATGCTGCCAATGAAACGAGTGAGCAACTGGACTGTAGTGGCAGTGTACTCTCTTTGATCTGCAGGCAAAGCAAAAAAAAAAAAAAAAAACAACAACAAAAAAAAACCTAAGTGACGGGGGAATGCTAGAGGCAAGATGAAGGCAATGTGACATAAAGGGGAGGTGTGGACTAAGGTAAAATGCATCACATTTCAAGCACTCAAACTCTTTTGTCTATTAATTCATTATAGCTATAAAATTCTTAAAGAAAGAAGCAACATCCCCTGACCTAGTGTAAGAGCATGAAATGTGTTATGACTGGTATACTTTTAGAACAAGCTCTCTTCTTGTGGGTAGAGCTACAATACACTTCTGTTATACTCACTTTAGAGGAGTCAGATGCTTTTTCCGACAATAAAAAATGATGGGAAAAAAAAAAAAAAAGCCAGTACATTCTTTAAAAATGAAAAATCTAAAACAAAACAAACTGTTGGAGATTATTATCCAGCTCATCTCAATCCTCTTTTGCCCTTACTATGGTGAGATGAACTTCCTAGCTGGGAAGCTGTACACAGATTAAGTTAGTGAATACACATCTATTGTTTATTCAGATCAGAGAAATTGGTCTCTGCTGGGATTTACTGCAGCCATCAGATCTCAGCTCAAACCTCAAATGGATGGCCTTATGTGCTTTTACTATGTTTGGAGCATGGTTTCAAAATTAGGTTATTTTAGGGGTAGTTAGAACTCATAAAGCATATGAAAATGACTCATAAGTAACATCTGAATGCGCTCTGATGTATTACTTTAATTTTGATAATCTGTATTCATTAACTGGAACTCTATGTTCATTACTTCTTCCCTAGCAAAAGTCAGAAGCGATAGGTGGAAAAAACAAAGCAAGAAATGAAGCTCAGTTGTGAGCAAGACTGTCCTTTAGGTGCAACGAACATTGAATGACTCACAATGACTAAGCACAGCTCTGTAGACACACGAAGACGCACTGGGAGACTCAAGAACTTCAAGAAATATCTTGCAAATGCTAAGAAACTGCTCCCAAAAGGGAAATTCTGTCTAATTACTGGATCTTGCAGTCCCTTTCCAGTGCCTACTAGATGACTAAGCAGAGCAGTTAGAACTTATGAAAAGCGTTACCAAACCTGACTTTGACTTAGAAACCATAACTAAAATATTTTCAGTCACAGGATGCTTTTGTCTGGTCTTCTTATCTTCATAATTACTTTTTCTAAACTCAAAAGAATAACCCCCCACTTTTACATATGAGCTATTTGGCATTTCCTACCCCAAAAGATTTCACTGAAATAAGCAGACCCAAATACTTAATTCCTTCAACAGCTTTACTGACCGCTGTTTTGGGGATTGCATTTGGCTAGGAGTAGCACAGCAGCTTGTTATTTTTAATTGAACAGCAATGTACATTCTTCACATTACAATCAATGACCAAAATTTAATTGAAACATTTACTTCTCTCATTAAAGAAATACTCCCACTAGCAATTGGTTATAAAAGTCGCTGAAAAACATAGTACAATCTCCAGCCCTTAATAACATTAAAACAAAGATGAAGGTTTCAAACCCAGTGTAATTAAAGTATTATTTTCATTAAGTATCCTATTTTGCCAATGGCCCTAGTCACAATATTGGCAATAAATGCACCGTTCTTGGATCCTCTGCTTTTCAAAAAAACCCAGAAAAATCAGTTGTACTAAGAGAAAAGTCCCTTTCTCTACAACTGAAACCTAGTTTGCATCCTAAAAGCTGATGTTAGAGGAAGGCCATTTACAATTTAGCCTTCGCTTGTCCCTGTCTTTACCCACAGACTTATCATCGCTTCTTTCAATGACAGTTTTATCATGATGTTTGATGAGACACGAGTTCATTCAATCTGGTGAATAAACAGCACATTAAACGTGCTTTTTTTTTTTCTTCCAAATTCAGACTGTGGATTCTGTATTTATATCACTACTGGGATTAGATAAATTTTAAAACGTTAGCCACTTCGCCTTCCCTCCAGCGTCTCCTATCGCTTTGCAACAGGACTAAGGCTTCTTTCAAAGCCATCGATAGCAATGGTCTGTCAGGATGCAGCTGAACTCTGCGTATTGATTTTAATTCCAAATAACTTAATGCACCTAATAGCTCTTTCTGAACCATTACAGTTTATGATAGAAATATGGATTGAAGCTGGAATCGACTGGAGTGTTTTAGAGTATGTCCAACATCACAATGCCGGCGTTAACACAACTAGCTTAGACACGTGAATTGGCAAAAGAGTAGTATAGGTGTATTAACCAGCTGGGAGCTACATTACACTTCTCCCTGCGTCTATATGAGAGCTTCTATCTATAACACAGTCCTATAATAGTTCACAACATCGTGCTGTCATCAGTTCACCCTCTTCTCTGTCTTGCATAGAATGCCCGGCTAATTGTAATCACCGCGAGAATCTCTTTCTGCTTAAAAGCCAAATTCCCCGTCATTCTGTGACCTACAAGAATTGCCCAAAAACACCAACATACCCAGTGGAACAGATGGGTGAATGAAAGTCAATGACAAAGAAGGTAAGTGCTAAAGAGCCTTGGACCCTGTAGTCCAGGACATACAGATAAATTAGCCTTGCCCTGCCACGCTGCTTCTACCTTGCTGTCAAACTGTCATCCTGGCCAGGGCCCAAAGACTTCCATTTCCTTGCTACACGCCTCATCTAGCGTACAGTGCCTACTACTTCATAAAAATGAATTTCAAATATTCATTAAAAAAAAATAAAAGGAGCTGGGCTCTCCAGCAGTCCCTGAAATAAAAGTTCACAAAGCAGATGGAAAACAGTAGGCACATACAGCATGAATAACTGCATCATTTATGACCTACCTGTTTTAATGTAACCTAGGTAGCTCTAACAGACACAGACCAGCCATTAAACAGCACCTTTGCCCAGTCACATACCAGGTTCAGTTTGGAGCTTGCACTGGCATGATAGAAGGAAGAGGGATGAACAGGTTCTGCTTTCATCAAGGGATACTAGTTTCTGTCACTATATTAATTAGTCGCTGTAATTAGAAATATTTTCAATAGACCCCACTTGGAGTACACTGCCACATGTAATGATAATGAAAAATTCACAGAGCTATCAAGTCATTTTCAAACGGAAAGCAAAAGCCACGTGCAAAAGGCTGGAGATGGGAAAATCAAACGGGAGGATTTTTGGGACTGGTCTATACCAATTTGAAATCTCTGGCAAGGCAAGGGATACCTAATCAAAGCAGACTGCCCAGATGATTGTTTGTATGTTCATCACAGTGCTCACTTATCAACACTGATCGATTAAAAGGGAATGGCTGAAATGGCTCCTGTTCCCAATTTCTCCATGGTAAAGAAACTCTAAACAGATCTGGCAAGCCTCAGGAGAGAGATGGACAGGGCAGATGTCCGAGGGCGGGAGGCTATTTAGCAATCTTATTTTCTTCTGTCTCTGTTTGTGGGAAAGTAATGCACAAATACCACTCCTTTTCTCTGCCTCGTTGCATTAGTGGTATTGCTTTCACTGCAATCCTATTAAAACACTCAGTGCTCTGATTTAGCACCCAACTATATTAAATGCACTGAACTGCCATCTAGAGAGGGCATGTTGTTTGCAGAGAGGAGAAATAACATTACTTTTCGTGGTAGGAAATGCAGTAGTTGCTCTGAGAGCTACACTTGCTTTACACGGGGAAGCATTTGCTCTAACTACCAAGTTTGCTTACTCCAAAAAAACAAAACAAAACAAAAAATTACAGAAACCTAAGCAACCAAAGAGCAATTCATTCAATTTGTTAATATATAACAACAACATTTTAGAGGAAAGAAAAAATACAGATGTGGCCAGCACACTTACAAAGACTTTTTTTTTCCTTAATCTTCCTTAGATTAGAAATGAGCACACTATTACTAACACTTGTAATAATAAACAGCAGTTTATTTGTTTTTTAATAAAGGGTCAAAGTTTCTGTTTCAGTAAATGCTGAGCTGAAGTCTGACCTTAGCTTCACAAATTGGAAATCTGCTCCGCACAAAGACATGCTGTTAATGACTGACTTTTCCAAGAGATCAAGCCAGTCTCATCAGTAAGTAATATGGAATGATTGCTTTTGAGTAAAAAAACCTAGAGTCGCTAAGAAAAATAGTAAATAACGTGCCTAATTATATCACACATCATCACCCTTGATGCTTTCAAGGATGGATTCATTTACTGATGAAATGAACACATCTACCGCTGTTGCCATAATTAACTACCATTTCACTGCATGTTTTTCATCATGTCTTTGTTTATGAAGGAACCATTTTTTTCCAACTTTCTTCCGCAGGTGGATATATGGGTAACAAAAAGGAAGAAAAAAAATCACAAGGCACGGGGAAGTGTTGCTGACTAGAAAAATACACATTTTTTATAACTAGCAATGACATAATCTAAAACTGGAGATCATTTTGAAATATTTGAATTATAGCACATAAGGGAAATATCAAACACGTTACTAAGTTACAGCGTTTAGAGATTTTAAAAAAGACTACAAAAACTACATTACATACTACTTTTGGCCATTTATGCCTGTGAGTTTGAGTGGCGGAAAGAAGGATTTATCCCTTGCCAATACAAAAGTAAAATATCTTCCCTTAAAACATAAATGCTATTGCTGATGAAGGTGGTCAAGTAATAATTCTTAACATTCACTACGATGCACAGTCCTCCATTGCTTCTCACTTTCTGTTCCTCTGATTACGCATACACTGTCTTATTTCATCTCTTTCATGCCTTTCTTTTTTCTTATCATTCTGAAAGCTGCTGCAGCTTCTTTTAAAGAACTTTTGTCACCTTGTTAAAAGCGGAGTTGGAGGTCAACTCCCAAAGACAGCCTCAGCTTTTAGAAGTAGGACTTAGCCTTATGCGTCACTTTTCTCTGAGTAGGAAGTTCAGTAGACAAAAGGGACTAAAGATGCAGACCTCCTGCCAGCTCACGTCCGTAAAGATACTGTCCTCTTCCCGGTTTGTTTCTTACTTAATCTTGTTCACAGTCATGCGCTTAATGCCACTGTTTGAGAATTAACCTATTCCATATATGAGAATGTTTTCCCAAGTGTCACTGATGCATTTATATCATTTACTTCTCCCACGCTTGTCTATGCTTTTACCAGCCCTCTTGTTTCCTGCAGTGCCCACCTGGAGCCAAGGGTCACCAACCCGCCTCTAGCGCATCTAGCTCTCTGTGAGCAAAGCAAGTAGTAGCAAGCAAGACATCATATGTGCAGAGATATGACAAAGGATACCTCAGCATTGCTCGCCCCCATAATTTTCCTCCTCCCACCCGCATTTCAGATTAATCTGGATATGAAAATGCATACCTCTGTTTGGTTGCCATATCTTCCATTTCCAAAGTCTCAAATGTAATTTTTCACATCTCTAGCAAGTTATGCCTCACACGCTCTCAGAAAAGGCACTGTACACATGTACTTTTCAGCAAGTTGTTAATTCTTTAAAACACACAATTTAAAACTTGTGCCTTTTCAAACAGCTGGAGCTTATTTTTGAAACATGATTTTGTGAACACCTGTTGGCCTGTTCATTGCCAAACAGGCCAAATCTCATTTTGTTGCTGATGGTTTAACATTCATATGAATAATTCATTAATTGCCACAGCTAGTAAAACGATGTTAGGAGAATATCTGTTTTATTCCAGCTGCCATTAGATAAAACCGAACACCTGAAAATGAGGAGGATACAGTGAAATTGCCAAAATGGATATCCAGCTACACTTATACTTAGATTATTGTTCATTCAGAACACTTTCTATTGGGTATGAGTTATTATTCTGACCTTTCACCGAGCTCCACTTCTGAATCTCAGAATACTTCACAGAAATTCACTAGCAAGTTACTTGAACTCAGAAGTAGCTCGTCTAACAAAGTTCAAACTTGGGTTTCACATGGACAGTCAGTTCAAGACAGAAGAAAATGATCATCAAATAAAATTAACCTATTCTACAAGTGCAGAAAGGTGCTAACCCAAGTCAAATGTAACAAGAGATAAAATTGCGTATATGCAGACAATATTACAGTTCTCCCCAGAATAAAACACAAAGAACTGTTTCTTATTCCTGCTTAAGAAAAAGTGAGAGTTTATAAACTCAAAAAAGGATGGAAAAGGAAGGATGAAAACAAACTCACTGCTAAAGTAAAGTCAGAGGGTGAAATCCCCCTTCTACCCAGATTCTTCAGGGCAGTTGTGAACCCGAAAGAAAACCGTGCTTTCATCTATTACAAGTGTTTCGATTTGCATACGTTGCTCCAAAAATGACACATTCTATTTATGTTCACGGAAGCCACAACAGATATAAAGAACACAAGAACACCATTTGGCAGAGCAAATTCCCAGCTAGAAAAAAACACTACTTTTCAATGCAGTCATCACCATTAGCTGTGCATTTTTGCCAGCTACGATAAGAGCCTGTGTGCTCCACTCAGAAAAAATCTGCACCAACAGAGAGACCCTCTGTTTCTGTCACCATTACTGAAATGCATCATCCATCGCCTCACTGTGCTCAAGTCCACTGTCCATAAATGTTCAGCAAGCAAAGAACATCAGCAGGTGCTATTTTTATCAGTGGGGAGTTATCCGTTGACACATTTCTGCTTCATATGCACTTCTGTGTCAAACACTATTTTGTCACACTGCCCCTCTGCTGCCATCTCTTGCTCAACAACAAAATATAAGGGAATATTGGCAGGAAGGTTCAATCTCCACTCCATACCGGCAACAGCCACATCTCTCATTGTAGATCAACATAATAAAATAGGAGGCATTACTTTTGGAGCAGCCCTCTTAGTTCCACTGACTTCAACAAAGCAAACATTTGATCAAACTATAACTTGAAAGAATTATTCTATTTCATAAGATAAATTGACTTAAAAGCAACTTCCATTTGATAGTTGCTCTAAAATAAATAGATACTAACGGCATTCCTGCTTATGTCTTTGGTGACCAGATTTTTCTAAGATCCAATGGAATACCAAGAAATTGAGGGACTACAAGTCTAATTTTCAAAACAGGAAAAAACAACTATGAATACATTGCTGCTTCATTTCCTCAGCGTCATGTTGTCCCGACTAGGACTTGACTCAATTCCAAACACCGTACCAATTTTTCAATTCTACTCCAGTAAAAGTAACTTAATTGATTCATTGCTATAAGCTGTGTGAATAAAGATGGGAACCAAGCTAAGGTTAATAACATGTAAAGGCTATATAGATTTATCCTAAAGCAACGTTTACAAGCAACATCTAACATTACTTACGTGTGAAGTAGTGATATGCTAATGACAGGTGTGTCTTAATTCTAAAATCAAAACAAGATTTACACACTAGCGTATCTTCATGAGTAACCCTTACTCACTCATTGTAAGAGCAGTAAGAGCAACTGCTGTAGGGTAAGCACCCTAAATAATGCTCTGGCACCCACTGGGGTGTTGGTAATACCTGTGGGCATCCAAAGATTGGAGGAGTCTAGAAATAATTGTTACACAGTTAACATGCTCCTTGCTTCTCATCTTTACCAAATAAAACTCAATGAACCTCAGCTTCTAGCATGTTTCACAGATCATTTTGTCTAGATAGCACTTAGTGATCACACACAGCTTCACAGTTTAAAACAATTGTTTCTGTTATGAAGCCAGTATGAGCCATTACCATCTTCCTCCTATACTGCCTTAATTGCACGCTCTACATAAAAGATGAGTCAGTTTGAAAAGCAATAACTTAGTGGATTTTAACAGAGTAGAATTCAGAGTAATAGTGTTTTCGTTAGCTGCGCTTTTAAACTGTCAACAAAGTCAAAGCAGAAACGTGATTGCATCACGTGAGGAGAGGAGCCTGAGCTGGCATGGGACACGCACTGAACTTCACACATCTGCCTTTTGTTTTCATTGTTAGCTTATAAGCTGTGCAACAATTTGTGTCAGACTATACTCAGTTTGGCATGGCAACAGTAAAGCTACAAGTTGCTACATGAGTTAGGGAACTGTAGCTAACAGAGCATTCTATGTTACTTCATCAGTTCATGTGGTTGCATTATCTACTTTAGAATGCACCTGCAAAAGAAAAATGGGTTACAGTAAATTTGGTTCACCTGCTGAATTGAAATTTTCTGATTTTTTTTAAATTACTTTTTAAAAACTTGGGTGGAAATCACTCCCTAGCGCTGGTATTGACATGCAGAAGTTAGGCGCCTGTTTGTTGAAAATATTCTCAATAAAAATGGGTTAAATATTGTACCTAATAAAAACCCTTCCAAATTACCCTCTGATAAGAAGACAAAGCATAAACATTCCTTGTAGTGCAAAACAAAGAACATCACTGCTTACCAACACAGTCACCACTCGCAGAACCACTCCTCGCATGTTATTCTCCAACTTCCTGTCTGTTAGGGACCCATTCAGACCAGTGATGGGATTCCAGCAGCCAAGCTGAAAGAGAAGGCAGAGGTTATTTCCGCGTTGCCCATAAAACCGCGCATTCCTCTCAGGCACCTTCAAGCAGGAGTGTAGGAAATACACAGAATTCCTTCTAGAATCAATGGGACAGAAAGTCGGATAAGGGTTTGCACATGAATTTATCTCTAAACTCCAAATGAAGCAATTAGGTATATCAGTTTGTGCCTTTAAATACCAGAGTGTAATGGATGACAGAATCCAGCATTTGGAGGAATATTTATTGCTTTTGAAGCGCTCGGCAAGAATTTATTGCGTGGAGGAATATTAATAGAAAATAATTGAAATGTGGTAAGGCTGTAAAAAAAGAAAAAAAAAAAAAGGTACTTCCACCTGACTTCCACTGATACGCTAATTGGAGAAATAATAGCGACCATAATTTCAATGTGCTGCCTGCTCCAGCCTGTTGCTCCTAGTGGAACTCTAACAAAAGGGATTAACTACATTTAATTAAAACTTATATTGCTCTTTGGTAATGAAATAGCAGTGATTTTTAGCCAGGATAAAGATTCCATTTAAAGATGACTAAGAAAAAGACACATAGGCACACCAGAGTGCTGAGAAAGGACTCCAACAGATAGTGGAGAGGAAGGAATGCAGCTACGAGATGCTTTGCCCCGATGCTATCGTATCTGATGGCTTTCTACGGATAGAAGCAGCTCAGGGGTATCTGTAAGACTAACATCCTTTTAGTCTGATCAGTAGATAATGAACTCTAATTTATTTTCTGAAGCATAACTTCACTACATTCTTACGTGAAGGTAGATGATTATTTCAGATACAGAGAAATTAATTAACTGGCCACTCATCTGTTGGTCACATGTACAAGCATCACCAGTCTCATTTTTAAAACACAATGCAAAACTCATCTGGCCTCTAAAAATATCGGCATTAAATTCAAAAACCAACAGAACAACTGACTCCAGCAGACCTCAGAGTCAGTTCTGCTTACTCAGTACCTCCTCCACATCATTCCTAGCTATTAACGGTTGTACCGAGGGATCGCTGATGTTCCAGATCCTCATTCCTCCTCTGCCAGAGGTGTCCAACAGCTTCAGATGAAAAATCTAACAGCTCTAGCGCATTACCAGTAATAGTGCTCAGTGAATGTACTGTATATTTAGGCACCGTACACTGTGTGGAATAAATCACTGCCATACTTATAAAGCAAAGTATTCCTCAGTCTCCATTTTTATTTGTTTATTTACGTATTAGAAACATTGAAAACAAACTAAGTTCAGAATAAAAGCACACAAAATTATTTCAGAGACTGTCATTCTCAGTCACATCAAGACACTAATTAGAAGTTGGTTCAAATTAGCATATCCAAATGTGTTGAAAGCCTAATTACCATGGATACCGTACAGTCTTTGCCAGACTTTTGTGAAGAACCTTCGTATCCTTTTGAGGTTAAAGTCCATTTTCAGTTACATACATCAATGTGTACATATTAATATAGTGAAGTTTTCAGCTTGGATCTTTTTACTTTCTTAAGCAAAAAAAAAAAAACCAGCGTAACCAATTGCTACAAATTTAGCAGTTTTCCTTTAAGATGACACATTTCATTTTCAATTATTGTTCATCTAATTTCCAGTTCACTTGTTCCTTTATGCAGCACAGTCATGATGGAGACGAATGTGCAATGCCGTGCCAGTAAAGTCAAAATTGATTTTGAGTGGGAGCTGCTTACTGTTATTAGGCAAAAATGAATCAACATTTATTGATGACAAGTTCAGCATGTCTCTGCAGCTAAAGCAAATGCTAACTTTGCTGAAACAGCAAGATGGGAGCTGTTGTGAGGCTTCCTTTACAGCTTTACCTCTCTCTTTGCTGTTTCTGCAAAATATCTGCTGCTATGTTTATGTCCTCCTTTTGTTCTGTCTCTGAGAGTTGAAAGGAGAGACTAGATTTGACAGATTTAACAGAATCTCAGATTAATTCAAGTTGATCCGTGTAGAAGAATATGGACAGCTACTGAGCACAGTACCTGTCTTCTCCGTACCACGTAAATTTAGCTATTTATACTGCTTTGTACTTCAGATGAAATTCCTACTAATTAAATGACAGTGTTTACTCCGCTACATTCTGATGCAAAATGATGAAGATGGAAGAGCTGACAGTGAGCTGCCTCATTTACTTTCCAGTTTCCAATCTCATCCCACTTCCCAGCTTGTTACCCCTGCTACTATAATCATTAGTGAGGGTTTGCCTCTGCTTTTTCACTGGCAAAGACAAAAATTTGACCTCCTTTAACAAAGGTGCTTCATTACTAGAAATTTTTGCCTCTATGAACTATGCGTGTGGAAGGTCCATAATTTGTAATCAATATAAATCTATAAAAATCTATATTATATTTCCAGTTTCCAGACACAGATTTATACAGAACTCAGCATGCTAAAGTCTATAGTGTCTCCAAAACAGAGCTCATAGGCAGATTTTTTTCCCCAGCTTCCACATTCCAACACACAATTCAAATATTCTGTACTAAATCGGTGGACTCTCATGAGCATCCTTGAGCTTCCACCTTCTTTTGGCAGTGTGACATAAAGCTTTAAATTTTGTCAATTAATTGAGACAATTTGGTGGGCTGGTGAGATCACAGTTGAGAACAGACACACATAATAGTTGAAACCAGTGTATGGGTGCGAATGCATTACTTATGCACACTGATGATAATTACTTGAGATCCTATGGAGTTCTATTGGTTAAACTAACAGAAAATATAGATGAACCAGTCTGAACTCAGACTGCATGTACACAGCAACACTGCAAAGGAGTAGAAAACACTCCAGAGAAGTTGCAAAGAAAATATGAAAGATAGAAAATCATTACACGTGCAACCAGAATCAATTAAGACGCCAAGACTAGTATCGCTCCTTTTTCCTTGATTTCCTTGGCCTCCTTTAAAACAAACAAACAAAAAGCTCACAAGATGTCAGTTCTACTACAAGGAGTACGAGAAAACATTTGCAGTGTCAGTGGTCTCCACAGAGCATTTCTAATAAGCTGCTCCGTTAGAGGCACATATCAGAGCTGATTGCTTGTGCAAACACCACCCTCCTTGCCTGCAGTTCTGGTACGCTCTTCTCAGTTTTCACCTTGGTCCAACCTGCTGTTGGAACTGATATTTTCTGAGTTAGGACTGCAGGAGAAGAAATATTTGTTAAGAACACCCACCTCCATTTCAAAATACAGTAAATTCAAGTAAATAGAAGAGATACCACAAACCTCTCATGAGACAGCATTCAACTCTAAATTCCAGGTGTTCTGGGAAGACTCAAAAATGGAATACACAGCAAAAAAATCACAAAGACACTTTTCTGTTATTATTGTGTGACTGGTGGATTCAGCATTTTCAAAGCTTGTTGGACACCACTTCAAGCAAAATTCAAGTAGGAGTATATGAAGACAGCTTTGCAGAGAATACGCCTGATTACTCTTGTAATACTAACATGATGGAAAGTACAGCAGTAATAGCAGGATGACACAAACCAAAACTGCAGCAAAGGAGGACAAGCCCAAACGTAGCAGCCACAGACACGAAAACAAAGGGAGAAAATTTGCTCACCTTTAAAAGGCCTCAGATAAGCAGGCATCTCCAATGAGAGATCACCACCTCTACTGCCAATGTTTAAATGAGGTCTGGGAAGGGGTGCATCCTGGCTCCACCCATGCCAGTCACTTAGGTACACTGTATGCACCTGAGCTCCCCCAGGTTGGCCCTTCCTTCCCACCAGGTGCTTAATCGCTGCTTCAGGCTGTGACTTAACATCTCCACTACAACTCTTGTCTCATTTGGGATTTAATATACCTGAGTAACTGTGAAATCAGAGACCAAATCACAGGAGAAAAGCCACAAAATATGCATTTTGTCTGTTGTTCAGATACTGCGAGCAAAAGTTGAGGGAGACGCTCTTTTACCTGAGTAAAGTTCTATTAGTTTAGCTCCCCAGCAAACATCCAATGTCCAGTCAGCCACATCTGTAAAATGTCTGGTGGCCATGGGTTAATCAGTGTTCTGGTAATCCTGGCAGTGATAAAAAAAACGAAGACTGGTTTTGCTCTCCACAACCATTTCCTAATGCATATGGTTAGCTGGAAGGATGTGCTTAACCTCACTGGAGCTTAGGTAATAGCAAATAATAAGTTGTTTGAATCAATAGAAAATACTGTGTTTAACAAATTGTATAATGTATAGCAGCACTTGTAATAGCTAAATTCGGTGTAAGGAAGCTATATAATTACTTTTTACTGCATGTTTTATTGTTCTGTCTCTGGACTAGAAGGAATGACTCGCCCCTAGACTCACTCTACTGTTTTCAAGATGTGTTAGGAGCATGTGAGCACACAAGTTCAGTTTTAAATTCAGAGCCTCAAGGAATATAACTGCAGCTCTCCAAGTGCTCAGTTTGTTTTATTAGCCTATCATAGACAAGCACAAAAGACTTAAGTATGGATTTCTTTCATCAAAGCCAAAGCACACAATCAAATAACACAGCTAATAAAATGCTTCACTTTGGAGCTTGCCCAAAACTCCTCAGTTTTTTGAACAGAAATAAAGAAGCTAATGGAAATCTACCTGCTGGTAATGTGCTGTTTGTTTTCCTTCCAGCTTTTGACTTAGTATTTTCTCAAGGCTTTGTGCACCCAGACTTGTGCCAGAAATTCTAACTGAAAGTTTTGCACCATTGACAAATATAGGGAGAAAAAAGCATACACTACGTAACTGCTCTCACACCTTGCACTCTGCTTATGAAGGACAGCTCAGTGCTTAGACCAAGTTTCCAGAGGAACTCTAGTGGTCTGATTTTTGGAAAGCATAATAAATCACAACATCTCAAAGGTAATGAACCATTTCCGTGAGCTAGTGGTGTCATTGCAAAGTTCCCTCCCTTTTTTACACCCTTCATCTCTAGCCTATTTGCACTGTTACTACCTTTCCTTTCATTTGAAATTTGGTGGTTTTAATCCATCAT